ATCCATCTTCAGCCTTCAGGCCCATGGTATCCAGCAGACATTTCCATAAAGCAGGAAAATTCAAAGTCAGTTCAGTCTCTATCTGTTGTGTCCTGCAGAATGTCTCGCAGACTCTTTCAAAATGAATCAGGAACCCCGAAAGATCATCTCACCTTTAGGCAAGTTCAGTAGTCCTCTCTCTGCGGGTTCTCTGTGTCCAGTTTATGCAATAGTCCAGGCAAGAGCAGTTTCTTGCCCAAATGGCTATCAAACTCCATAACGAGCCTCTTCGATGCCCATCTTCCTCTTGAAGTAGATTGGTGCTGCCAGGAGCAGAGTGTCTCATTGTCATGAAAAGTCCTCAGTTATTAAAACATTAAATGTCCTATTCTGTAACCTTTGAAAGACATGAAGAATGTCTATCTAAAATATATCTCTATATATCTAGAAAATCTAACTAACATGACTACAAGCTTTACTATTATCGATGATTATCCATTAATAACCTATATTTCTTAATTATACAGTACATATTTAAATGAACTACACAATCACAATACCTTAATCAAAATCAGAAACACTTATACATATAACAAAATTGACCTTAAATCTCTATCAATAAAGCAAAATCTATACTAATGCAAATTATTCATATCTATATCATATCCCCCTTTAAATGTAAAAGAACGTTTATAAACCATATTTGGGAATATGGGCGCAGTTATTTCTCTCCAAACTGCTTCCTGCTGAATGGGGGCGTCGTTAATTAGGTCTTTCATGGTATAACCTGTGTGCTAGTTTCATCTCAGTTGGCAGTTGAGCGAAGCAATTTTCTGAAGATGTTCACTGCAACCCTTCAGGAGGGCGTGGTCCATCATACCAAATCGGAATAGAAGAAATGAACAGCGTCTCATCCTCTGTGAAAACAAAATAAGAAACTCTTTTCCAAAGTATCATATCCTTAGATCCAAATTCAAGATATTTATGTTGGATTAGTTCAGCAGCATTTATAAACAAATATCTTTTAGCATCTGTTGCTCCTTCCTCAGCATTTAAATAATTTAAAGAGAGCATAATAGCATACAGTATCAAAATTCTCTGTGTATTTTCCATCTTTGTGCAGCTTTGTTTTAACCTCTATTTTGTTTATTTTTACTTAACTCTTTGCTTTTTGAGACAGGTTCTCTGTATCTTTGACCTGAAGTAACTCTGTAGACCAGGCTGTCTTTGAACTCTCAGAGATCCGCCTGTCTCTGCCTCCCAGGCATTCAGGATTAAAGGTGTACACTACTACACCTTGAACTCACAGAGATCTCTTTGTCTCTGCCTTCTAGGCACTGGGATTAAAGGCGTGTGCTACCACACATAACAACTCTCTTCCTTTTTTTTGTTTTTTACTTTAAGAACTTCAACTTTTAGTCTGCATATATTTTTAACACACTGTAAACCATTTAAAAATTTTCTTTGTCTTTGAATCTCTCTTTACTGTATATCTCTCTTTTTCTGACCACATGAATCTTTAATTTACCAAGCAATCTCAGTAGGACTAAAGGCGTGGCTTTGCCAGCTGGATCCAGTCCATTCCTTAGCTTTCCAGCCTCGTGGCGGATATACAGGCTGTAGCCATGTTTACTGCAACAACTGTGTATGGCATTTCAAGGTCCCTGCCAGCAAGTGAGCTACAACAGACAACACTCAAGTCCTCTCTCGGTAGCCGGCCCTCCTGCCTCAAACAGTCAGAGTTTGCCCTGGCAGGATGGCCCAGAAAGCCGGCATTTTTAAACGGCGCAGCTTTTTTCCTACTACGGCTGAAAACCGAAAAGCATGCGTTCAGCTTTTCGTCAACACCGTTTAAGTGTTTCGTGGCAGGACCTCTTAAGAGCTGCAGGGTTTTGCAGCTGAAGCTGAGTCAGGAAGCCTCTCTTAGATGAGGCGCTTGCTTGCCTCTAGCAAGCAGAGTAGAACCGAGAAATTGCTGCTACCAAGAAACCAGGCACAATGCTTTCATTTTGTTCTAGAATTACTTCCCAAGCTGTCTCAGGCTTTATGTGGAAGCAGTTGTCCACGTGGGCGCCATATGAAGTAATAAGGGCAGCGGTGCTGCCCCAAAATAATTACACAGACACTGTATTCTTTTAAGCACTGCTTGGCCCTTTAGCTCTAGCACTTACAGGCTAATTCTCACATCCCGATCAACCCATCTCTTATAATCTGTGAGAACCTGTCTTACCGGGAAGATTCTAGCCTAGTCCATCCTGGGTCGGAGCTTCATGCCATGCGTCTGCCTGGGAGCGGGGCATGGTGTCTCTCTCAGGCGTCTGCTCCCTAGAGGAGAGCTGTCAAGTCTCTGACCTCACTTCCTCTTCCTCCCAGTATCCTGTTCTGTTTTCTCCTCCCACCTATCTTCTAACCAATAAAATGGGCCAGGGCAGTTCCTTTATTAGCCAATGACCTTCCTCCATCAGGAGTTCCTAAACATTCATTCCACAACATATTTCTTGAGACAAAAGTATCTCACTTTTGAAGCTTTCTTAATGTATAAAACCACACAGATAATGTCTCTAGGGCCACCTCTATGAACCTGGGAGGCCTCTGCAGGTTAAATGTCTTGAAATAGGCTTTTGGGTTTCACTCTGGATAAGAGGTCAGGATAAACACCTACAAACTTGGTCATTTCCACAGAAAAAAAGGAGATATCCGAGGGAAGATTAAGACACTGTCACATATGTGATGTTAAGGGCCGCATATCCCCCCCTCCTCCCGGAGAAAGTAACTGCTAAATGTTTGGAGTCTTGCAAGGCAGGAGAAGTGTTTAAATTACAAAGAAGTATTTAAATGTTACAAAGGAACATTTTTGAATATTAAGCTAGTTGACTAGTTAAGAATTTTCTTGGAATGAGAGGGACAAGAAAAGGCTGGGACGCAGTCAGGGGCCTGATCGGGGGCAATCTACACGGATGGTGGTGGCAGTCAGGCATTGAAGTCTTACAATTTTAGGATGATTTTGCTATCAAAATGTATAGTCAAGTAAGTTTTGTCACTTCAGTCACCTTGGTCGATATATTTGGAAGTTTTAGACAGCTGAAATTGCTTTCTAAGGATAACAATACCTCAAAAAAAAAAAAAACAAACCAACCCAATCCCCAACAATGACAACCCAGGACATCCACTTTGCCTGTGTTCGTTTCTGTCCTTTTTAGTTAAAAGACCATGGTCAGTCAATATGGAATGCTAAGGGTTGCAGGTGCGGGACTCCTGGGTCTACACCGTAGAGATTGGCTCACGGCATCCCGCAGGATTCCTATCACAGAGGATGCTGGCCCCGAGTCAAGAGGACTGGAATTGGACCTTTAGTGGTCCATCAGTGATGCCTACGATGGCACACTCAAGGACAAGCACAGCATGGCTTTTCTTGTGACCCGTGACCGAACGTAAATTAAAGTGATTGACTGGACACGTTTGACTCCTTCCAGGGCCAGGCACCCTCATCTTCATCTCAACCTCTCTTCCCCACGTTGACTTCCTGGTAGACTCTAGTGGTCCTTGCTGCTGAGTAAGAGCTTCCGGTTTTAGTGATACTAGTTTGAATAGTTTTACGTTTTCCTGAACAGATCCGAAGAAAGCTCCACACTGAATTTTTGGACTACTATGTTCACCCCCTAGCCAAGCACTGTGGTCTAGAAGATGATGGCTGGCTTGTCTAAGGATGTGCCAGTATCCAGGAACCTCAAAAACTCATTGTGTCCGAGAGACCTATATGAACCACTGCTACTAAGAAAATGAGCGTTGGGAGACACACAATACTGAGCACCCACATTCAAAAAGTATGCACATCCATAATTTGGGGTGAAGAAGTATTGTTTTCTTCCTGCATAAATATAGTTAATCTACAAACCAAGTAGCTCTCCCATGTCTAGATAGGCACCATGTAAGTACTGAGGGGGCATACTCTTACATTTCAACCTTACATTATTATTATTTTTTCTTCTAAAAGGAGATTCAAAGAAGATGCTGCAGAAAAAACACATGGGAAGTGCCAAGTATCTGTACAGCAAAATTTAGTTTTTAGTGTCCTCTCTAAGTCAAATGCGATTTTAAGAATACATTTTTCATCTTGACCCCACCCTGTGTCTGTGTGTGGCATGTGTGTTAACTGTCTTGTTCTTACAGATGGGGAAACTGAGGCATGCCGCCCCTGACTCAGCTTTCGGGTGGAATTTAGGAAGAGATTTGTCTCCATGACCTCAGCGGGTCCCTTTCATCCTTCGCGAAGCCTCTAGGAATGCTCACGTCCTTCGCTCCGCAGCAGCACCCGCCCCGCTCTGCTCTGGAGCGCCGTCCTGAGGGAGGCCCCCGCGGCCCGGCTCTGGCCGTTTCTCCCGGGCTCTGCTCGATCAGGCTCCCGGGTCCCCGACGTGCAGGCGCCCCCCACCCCGCGCCCTGCGCCCCCAGTGCGGTGCGAGCCGATGCCGCCCGGGCGTCCAGCGGACACGGCGGCGGCGCGGCTGGAGGTGAGCAAGCCGGCCAGGGACCCGGGGCGACGCGGGGAGGGGCGGGCGACGGCGAGGGGCCGCTGGCGATGCCTGGAGAGCGAGAGGAACGGGCGCCCGGGGCCCCGAGCGCGGGGAGACATGGCTCCGCGCGTCCCCGTCGCCCGCCGCCGCCGCCGCCGCCGCTGACTCAACACAATTGGCGGCTCGCGCGGCGTAACCGCGGGTGGGCGGCGGCGCAGAGTCACCTCCGGAGCGCCGAGGGTCGCGGCCGTGCGGGGATGCCGGCGCCAAGGCGAGCCGAGGACGGCCGCTGAGACGCTCGCCGGCCCCGAGAGCCGAGTGGGCTCGGTGGCCGTGGCCGCCGCCGCAGCCCCGAGCTGCAAGCTCGCTCGCTCGCCCGCCCGCCCGGCTGGCCGGCCGCCTTCTCCGCGGCGCGCACCGGCGGCTGGCGGCGACTGCGGGGCGCGCTCCCGCCTCGGCCCGGTCCCCACCCGCAGCCCGCCCTCCCGCCCAGGTGAGTGCGCGGCCCGGGCCCCGCGCTCGCGCCGCAGGTAGCGGGCGGCGGCTTTGTCTCGCTCCCTCGCGCCCTGGCGCGGTCATTCATTTGACATTCTGCTCCCCGAAGCGCCCGGAGACCGGCCGCGCCGGACGCTCCCGCTGATTCGGTGATTCCGGGGAGCTGGGACTTGGGGGCTCCGGCGAGCATCACTCGGAGGGAGAGGAGGCTTCATTTGCCTTCGGTTTGGAATGTGTGGTGAGCATCCTCGGCTGGAGCTTGGGGCCTGGAGGAAACCCGGGCTGCAGATTTAGACGTAGACGTTTGGGAGGACGTGCAGCTGCAGAGGTCTGGCTCCCTATGCCTGGTCTTCTCCCGGTAGCGGCGCTCAGCTGCTTATTATGATTAATTTTAGGAACACCATCACCGGCCCAGTTATTCCTTTTCGAGTTGGGAGTCTTTGGAGTCAGCACAGGGAGCTCACGAGTAGAGTGAGAAGGGTTCAGTCGATACTAAACTTGGAAAAGGACAGCTTCGATGATCGTATGGACAGAGGTGGACAAGAGGCAAACTTCACCGCGGCCTTTAGCATTTGTGGATAAGATTTCTGCTTTGGTCTTCTAGAGTCATGGCAACTTGGGATTCTTGTACGTATGCCTTTGCCGAAGTGTGTAACTTGGTTTTTTTTTCCTTTTTTTTTTCTTGAATAGTTTGTGTCTGTGTGTTCTTTGTCCTTTAGAAGAAAAATGAGTAATTTTAGTAGTCTTTTATTAGACATTGTGAAATTTGTTGTGTTTGTTTGTCTTGTAAATAGGATTTTCTTTTTACTGCTTCTCCTATCCCCTGAAGGGCTCATTTCTTCTATTGCCCTAGAGAGTCAGTCCGCCTCTCTCTTTTCCCTCTGCCCTCCCCCCCCCAACAGATGGCTTTATGTGCCAAGAGGTCATCTTTAAAATGTCACCCCCATCGCTGACAAACAAGGCAAGCTTAGTTCTGAAGTTCTGTCTCTGGGGTTCGGAGTGCAAGAGCCCTAATCTGATGGGAGTGTTATTAACGGTGTCAAGATCTGGATGCTGCTAATCTGTTTGGTCCTCGGAAGATCCCTGCAGAGATTGTTTTTATAGTGCAGGACAGATGGTGTCCCTAGCTGACAAGAGGAGCCAGGCAGAAAGGGGCATTGTACACTTCAGAGAGTGTCTGCTGGATTATGGGGAGGCGGAACCAAGTGGGGTGAAAGGCGATAAAGACATAATTGTGACCTCTTAAAGGGGACATTTGTTAGCCAACAACCTACATAGTTTCGTTCTTTTCAACGTTTAGCAACTCATCACTGAATTGTTTGTTTTATTACTAGATTATAGGTAAGACAGTTTCAACAGTTACAGCAACACAGTTGCCTTTGAACTTCAAAGTATCTTACCACTTGTGAAGAGAGCTAGTCCCTCTCCTCTTGATCTTTGGGGATGTTTGGGACCTTGGACTCATGATGTCCCCAAGCCTCAAGGACGTTAGTTTCATCTGCATCTGCTGGAATTAGTTTCTTTTCTTTCTCCTTGGCAGTTTGCTGACCTCCAGCCTTTGCCCCCAAACTCTCAACTACGGACATTACTTCCGTGATGATTTTACCTGTCCCTGGATATTTGTTTCACTGTGACACCCAGCAGGGGTGAGGGGTAGGGGTGCCGTGCCTCTCGGCAGTGGATCTCCCTGAAGCATTGTGCTGCCAGAGAGGAACTCCAAGTCCTGTGAACGTTTGATCGTCTAGCTGTAGGTTTTCTGATTCTGGAGATTTTGGGCTCTTGATTGCAACTGGATCAAACGTCGGTTCTTCCTTGTGATGCACGCGAGGGAAAATATTTTAACAATTATTTAGCAAAGATTAAATTTAATGGTCAAGTGGTGTTTGAGCTGAACGAGGGGCTTGACATTAAGAGCTTGGCTCTGAAGAACTCGGGCAGTGTGCTCTAAGGAGGGAAACATTCGTTCTTACTTCTTTCAGAATCTTTTGCCGCTGACCTCAGCAAATAAAAAAGAAACCCAGCTTGTTACTGTAGTTGAGTACAGATACAATGGCATTCTTTCTTGGGGACTGTGTTTTGTAGGAGGGATGACTTTGGGCCTCTGCCTGCTGTTGAATGTACTCTGTTATCAATGTTATCTGTTAGCAATCTGGTATCTTAAATCTTTGATATTCAGTTTGTGTCCCAATGCCTGTGGCCTCATGTGGTGGGCATCTCTGTTGTGAATTGCTTTTTTTAAAAGAAAAGTGCTCCTGGCATGGGCTTGCCCTGGACCTGGCTTGTTGTGGTACTCAGTAGTGAATTGCTACCTGCTTAATGGGGAGATGGGCTAGGGGTATGGGATGAGAGTAGGGGTGTGTGGGGGGGGGGGTGGTATGGGATCGTTATGCATAGTTTGTTGGACTGGGGCTAACAGCCCAAGATACTTTGTTGTTGCTAGGCTTGGTCATGAAGTTTAGTTGCTCCAGCAGGGGCAGGGCTGCTTCTTCAGGCCCAGGAGGCTGCATCAGGATGTGAAGGATATAAAGGAGAGGTTAGAAGAGTAACCAGACCTTCTTTTTTGCTGTGACGGTACCATGTTGTCGCTACTAATTTTTCTCTACTTTTAAAAATTTGGGTGATAAAGTTATGGGATTACTCTGGAAATGAGGGTGTCTTCTCTTGACCCTAGCTTTCCTTTCCTTTTCCTTCCTTCCTTCTTTCTTTCCTTCCTTCCTTCCTTCTTCTCCTTCCTCCTTCCTTCCTTTCTTTCTTTTCTCCTTCCTTCCTTCCTTCCTTCCTTCCTTTCTTCCTTTCTGACAGGGTCTTGCTATATAGCCCAGGCTGGCCTTGAATTCAAGGCCCTCTTGTTTTAACCTCCCAAATACTGTGTCTTACCATACCTAGCTGACACCAGATTTTGAGCTTGCTTAAGGTCGGTCTTTTACTTCTTGAATATTCAGTAAGAAAATAAGAAGGCGTTGGAACCTCGAAAAGGCAAAGGAAAAAGGCATAGTGGGGAAGACAAAAGACTGGGATCTATTTACACATGTAGAGAGAAGGTGCGTTAAGTCATGAAGTGTCTGTCGTGGTTCTAAGTCCCTAGTACTGTCTTCAGACAACAAGAATTACGTCTTGTCCTTTATTTGAGGCTGACACACACTGGAACGACCCCTGTGATTGGAGAGGACAGTTGCTCCAACACTTGCTGGTAGATTGAATGTGTACGTGGCCCGTACACACTTGAATGCCCGTTTTCACCATCCAATGTTAGACACAGTTCTTGGATGTTTCCTCAGAGTCCAGAACACAGATGCTTCTGCTTAGTCTTGACTCCCACATTCTTGTAGTCCCCCAGAACAATAGGGGAGCCCTTGTTTCCTGTCTCTTCTGTCTCCAGTTGGATTTCAGTCTCAGCCTTTCACAGGGAGCCCATCAGAAAATATTTGGTGCATCAATACATCCTGGGCAAAGTTTCATTGTGCAAGTAACCCGATGAGGGTTTGGGCTTTGTATGTATGAAGTTCGTGACTCCAGCTCCCGTGGCTTCAGCTGAACAGCGTGTCTGTCTAGAACGGCTGGCTTGCAGTGCTGGCCAGCAGGTATTAATTATGGTTCTCTTCTTCCCAGCACTCAGTCCACCAAAGTCCTTAGGAGCTTGGCCAGCATGTCTGAATAAGAATGAAATTTATTTATCTCCTTTATAAATATGATGACTAAGTGATTTTTTTTTTCCAGCCAAGGACATTTTTGTGAGTAAAATGTGGTACGAACTGGAAAGAGCTTCAAGGCAACCAACTGGACTCGTTCACATTTCTGAGTTACATTCCTTGTTGCTGTGCTCAAATATATGACTTACGGAAGGAGTGGTCTACTAGGTTTCTAGTTAAAGGGAATATAGTCCATCATGGTGGGGAAGGTGGACTTTCTGAGATAGCGGGCTACATTGTATCCACAGCCAGGAACCAGAGAGTAATGAATACTCCTGTCCTTCTGACTTTCTCCTTTATGTTCTCTGGGACCAGACCCCAGCCCATGGAATTGTTCATCTGTATTTAGGGTGAGTTTTCCCGCATCGCAAACCCATCTAGAAACTCCCTTCCAGATGTGACCCGGGGTCACATGGTGATTTAAAATTCCAGTAAGTTGACAGCCAAGATTAAACATTATTCCAGGGAAACCAGCATGGTTTCCTAATTATGATCCGAATCATGAACTTGGGGAGCTGGGGAGATGGCTCAACAGTTGCATGCCTGCTGTTCTCGCAGAAGACTTAGGGTTTGTCCCCAGCACCCAATCAGGTGGCTCCCTGGTTCCAGGGGATACAACATTATCTTACGGCCTCCACAGGCAAATTCATGATGTGGTGTGTACAAACCCAGGCAAGCACACACACACACACACACACACACACACACACACAAAAGAGTAGCTAAGTCTAAAAAAAAAATGTGAACTTGAGTCTTTTATGTAACATTGGTTGGCCTGGAACTTGAAGTCCTCCAGGTGCTAGGATTATAGGCATACACTGCCACACCTGGATTTCAGATTGCCGGCTTTTGTATGATGAAAGTCGCCTGATGGAAAAATACCCTTAGTTACTTCTGGATTTGTTCAATTTGTATGTCTTTGTGTGTGCTTGTATATGTTGGCAGGATATATGTAGATATATCTATTGTATGGCTAAAATAAATCACTAAGAAAGTGTGGTCATTAGAAAATTGCATATTTAATTTCTTTCATGGATTGGCTTTTAAAGTAACTCTCTGTAATTAGTCTCGCCAAACTTTAACTCAACTCCTGACCTTGTCCGGCTTTAACGCTGTTTGTGGTTATAATGTCTTTCCTTAAAATTTTGATAGCTTGTGATTTTCCGTTTGAGTCTTAAAGAAAGATCTCTACACAGATTGGTGGCTACAGAGGAAAAGAAAGAATTTCATTTGTTCATTTATTCATTCAAGTGGGTTTTTTGAGTTGGTGTCTGATGTTGGTGCTGGCTATCTGCCAGAGAACAAAACAACGGGTGCCAACCATGTGGAGTTTTCGTTCTGTTGAAGACCAGGATACTAAGTCAAACAAAAAAGAAAACGGTGTAGGATAGGAGAACGGGCAGACGTGGCCCAGTGCGCCTCACAGAGAGAATGGCCTCAAGCGGAGGACAGTTCGACGGAAGTAAGAGAAGTTGCTTATGTGCGCAGACAATGGCGAGAATTGCAGGCAGAGGGAGTGGCCAGTACATGTTTCTGGCCTGTAGGGTGGTTTGTGTTTGGATGTGTTCAGAGACCGCAAGGAGAACAGTAGGATCCTCTGCAGGCATCCAAGAGGAAGGGTAGAGATCAGCAGTGAGGTCGGAGAAGTAACATGGGCTGGTAGGGCTTCTGTAGGGCCTCGAGATAGGAGCACAGTTATGACTTCACTAGGCATTCTGTTATATCTTTTAAAAACATTATTAACACTTATATTTTTATTGTGTGTGTTTAGATCATTTGCCTGCATGTATGTATGTCTGTGCACCACGTGTGTGTGTGCCGTGTCTGTGGAGGCCAGGAGAGGAGATCAGATCCCCTAAGACTGGAGTTATAGATGGTTGTGTGACATTATGTGGGTGTTGGGAATCGAACGCAGGTCCTTTGGAAGATCAACCGGGG